CGAACATGAAATGTATTAGAATTTGATTGCATCCCACAAAGGTCGGACACATTGCATCCCACTAAGGTCGGACACATTGCATCCCACTCGACGATTAGTTTCATTCAACAATTAGTTCTATTAGGAAACATGTTATATTTCAAGGAAAACAAATATATATTGTTATCGGTCGGTTTCGACAACTAGTTCTTTTTGGGACGAAAAATATCGGACGGAGAATACTTTGACTTTCGGTAATTAATCTGTCTGTTTCGATGTATTTTTCATTTTTAAATGTCTTAACGTTCATGAGCTAAAGTCTCAAAAGGAAAACACATGTGTATTATATTATGTTTTGAAACTCTACATCATGAACGTTAAGACATTTAAAAAGGAAAATTTATCGGAACAGACAGATTAATTGCCAGAAGTCAAAGTATTCTCCGCTCGATGGTGTTCGTCCCAAAAAAACTAATTGTCGAAACTGACCGATAACAATATGTATCTGTTTTCCTTGAAATATAACATGTTTCCTACTAGAACTAATTATTGAATGAAACTAATCGTCGAGTGGGATGCAATGTGTCCGACCTTTGTAGGATACATGGAAGGTGACATGTTTCCATATAGAAACTAATGGTTCAAAAGAATATAATCGCCAAAAAGAAACTATTGGATAAAGGAATCTATTCTTGCCGCAAAACCGAACGATACCAAATCTATATGTTTTGTGTTCCCTCAAATATAACATGTTTTCGAATAAAACTAATTGTCGACTGAAATTATATAATATTATATATATATATATATATATATATATATTATATATATATGTGTGTGTGGTGTGTGTGTGGTGTGTGGTGTGGTGTGTGTGTGTGTGTGTGTGAAGAGAGAGAGAGAGAGAGAGAGAGAGAGAGAGAGAGAGAGAGAGAAGAGAGAGAGAGAGAGAGAGAGAGAGAAGAAGAGAGAGAGGATATTATTATTGTAAAATATATGTGTGTACAATGGTGATACAAATTTCAATACAAACCCAACATGTCCTTAAAATGCACTATGCGTTGAAATTTTCTTCCTTAAAGTGGGCCATGCATAGAATTTAATTTTTTATTTTTGAAAGGTTAACAAACATTATTACCAAAGGGCTTTGTACGTAGTTAACCAGGATAACCAGCCTTGCAATTTAATGCTCAGACCTACTAAAATTAAATAGCATGTCTATAAAAGTCATGGCGCAGGCATCTCTATATGAAATATATCTCAGTCACATTATTCCTTCTATCAAAAGAAGTTAATATAACAATTTCTTCACATTGATTGAAAATGAAACATATAACATGGGTGATACTTAACCTAGTAATAGTGATGTTCTTGTTCCAGGCCATGGTCACATGCAATGCACGTGACCTGGAGGGTGCCCAGGAGCTTAGGATCATTGCAACCAAATATAATGTCACTTCCATTATCGTGATTGGTGATTCGAGTGTCGATCCTGGTAACAACAACCATCTTACAAACACATGGCATAAAGGCAACTTCCTGCCTTATGGGGCAGATTTCGGTCATTCCAAACCAACTGGAAGGTTCACCAATGGCAGACTTTCCACTGATTTCATCGGTAACTTTTAGTATAATTTTCATGCATGAGTACTTTTAGCGCAAGTTAAATCACCAATATTTCACCATGCATTAATTAATGCTTGTGGAATGTGCCTTTGTTTATGTATTGTTATAGGTTTTGTACAATAGCCTTTGCTGAATATCATGCATAATTGATTTGTTTCTTTTTTTTTTTTTTTTTTTTTTTTTTTTTTTTTTTTGTGTGTGTGTGTGTACACGCAGCTGCGGCTTTAGGATACAGAAAAGTTATTAAAGCGTATTTGGATCGAAATCTGATGGAAGAAGACCTGTTGCATGGTGTTAGTTTTGCATCTGGTGGTTCCGGTTATGATGATTTCACTGCAAATGTCACTGTAAGTGACATGCTTCGACTGTTTGACATATAAACCTCGACGTGACGTTCCATTTATTTATGAATATATTTTTGTTATAGTTTTTATTTTTAGAAGCTAAATTGGTAAAAGAAAAAAACTTTTAACCTTATAAAATTGAGAAATTTTCATAAACATCATACTACGAGTTATAATTTGGCTTACAACTTAAATTGGTAAAGAAGAACAATCTTAGTTAAACAAAGCGGGTCAAATAGGCCAAACTATGCCGAAAATGTGTTTTATTCAAAATATAAAACTTTTTATACTGTTTTTATTATTTAACATTTTACGTGATAATATAGCTTTTAAATTATATATAAATCAATGTTCTTAAAGATTGGAGTCGTGATGGTAGGATCATAAGATTTATGATTCTACAAACAAAAAATGATCCCGCTCTTAATAATTTTTGTTTTGGAGCAAGATCAAACCTAATATTGTAGTATTGCACTTAGGATCACAAGATTGTACACCATCCGATCTCATCCAACTTTATTTGATTTTGTATATAATGTCTAAACTTTAAAGTCTTTTCAAGCCTTGATATATACAGAGATGAAACTGATGAATTCAAAAAATTTGCCATGAGAATTTTGAGACTGAAATGTTCTTTATTTGGTTATGAAAAGAATAGGAGCACTTTTGAGATGATAATTTTCAAGATAGTGATATAACACTTAAATTTGAATCGTAACTTATTATATTGCTAATTTGTGAATCTAACCTTTAAGCTAAATCATAATTTTTAAAAATTTCCACAAGTTGTGAACCAATTATAGAAAGAAATTTACTTTTCATGTCATAAACTTATAACTATTCATTTAATTTGGTAAGATATTTCGATCCTAGTCAAATCTTAGAATCACGATCTTATAAAATAACGAAAAGATTTTAAAAGATTTCAATTTTGACTTGGGAGTATAAGGTAAAAAGATGTAGCTTTTGACCAAGTTTGGCTCTCACCCCCGACCCCTGTGTAATCCAATGTTTTCCTAGTTGATGGCCAGCCTCTGTGAAAAAAATCTTTTTATCAAAAGAAAAATGGACCAAAGTGATTAAAGATTATGGCCCATGTGACTCGACATACCTCAATTTCAGTTATTTAAACCACATAATATACCAAAACCATAGATCTTTAATAAATGGCATTTTTGGGTTTATTATAAATCCAAAACTGGGATGTATTATTATTATTATTTTTAATTTCACTTGGCAAATTGAAGTAACATATAATATTCTCCTTATGTTAAAAAGTGAAAAGGAAAAGAAATTTAGTTTGATGGTTGAAAATATTTTACTAAAGTATCGACATTATAACAAGTTAGATTATTTTCCGCTCCAAAAAACAAATGAGATTAATATTGTGAAATAAATATTACAATTGTGGTGAACGTATAAAAAGACTATTCTATTTGTTTAATTAATTATTTTTTATATTGTTAAAAAAAAAACATCAGCTAATGGTCTAGATGGTTGTGGATATATAATAAACAGTTAAACACTCCCCTATAAGGCCCATCGGTATACATCTCACGAATGTATCCGTGTCTTAGTGTCATGACCGGGGTGGTTCGTGACGTTGAGGATGGAGAGCAACACCCACTCAAAGGTTATCTCACACACACACACACACACACACTCTCTCTCTCTCTCTCTCTCTCTCTCTCTCTCTCTCTCTCCACTGGGAGCACACCGGCCACACACAATGGTGGTGCTCTTGGTTGATCTGGAAGCTCTCCACGCTCTTTGACATGGAGAGTATATCTTTCGGCCTAAGTGATCCAAGTTCCAATCTCACCCGAGGCAAGGGTTCTCATAAGTCCTTAAATATCTATAAGTCTTTAAATATCTATACGATTACCAACAATTTTGGTCATGATTTTATTTGATCTCAAGATCATTGTACCGATCTTTGTAATATATAGGCTTGAGACGTCACAATTTTTGTGTCAAGAGGTGTGTTCGGCAAAATTAGATGGTAGCAGGTAGCTTGTAGCTTGTAGCGTTTTGTTAAACGCTACATGAAGTAGCATTTGAATTTGAAGCGTTTTGTTTAAAGTAAACGCTAGAAGCTTGTAGTACCGAATGTGACTTTTTGTTCAAAACGGAGCGTTTTGTCAAACGCTAAAAGCTAGAAGCTCTCAAACGCTCTGTGTCGAACACGCCAATGACAGTTGATCTTTACACAATTTTCATGCGACATCACAAATAAATTGCTGCAATTTCATATAACAAATGGATTGTTGTTAACATGATTATCTTTTTTCTTAACATAGAATGTTATATCTCTTCGAAAGCAATTGGATTACTTTAAGGAGTATAAACTTCGTTTACGAATGCTTGTTGGAGAAGAAGGTTCTCATAGAATTGTTTCGAATGCTGTGTTCATCCTGAGCATGGGTACAAATGACTTTTTACAAAATTACTACATTGATCCTACTCGATCCAAGACGTTTACGATTGCTCAATACCAACATTTCTTGATCAATTGCATGGAAAACTACATAAAGGTAAAACATCAATCTTTGTTTATATTTTAAGCACTGCTAAAAAAGATTTTAGCAAGGGAAATTTATGTGTTTGATAAAGAACACATTCTTTTTATTTGCTAAAAGCAACACATTACACATACATGTTTTATTTCATTTGTAAGAACTTTTTTTTACTCATTCCTTTACACAATAACAATAAGATATTACTAGATAATATTATATTTTACTTTGATGTATGTGTCAAAACTAAAAAAATAACAACTATAAGACTTGCAACACAAATCAATCACTTACAATCATAGAAAGTATTGAAACCACCATTGATTTATATTTTATTTCGTTTATACTTTGTTTTTTTTTCTATAATTTAGTAATTTTTGCAAAAATTTCTATTAAGCTCTTAATACAGCTCTTAATATACATCAATACGAAGTAGTCTCACACATAAATGATGACGAGTGACCATGTCAATCCAGAAACCACGTAGTTATGAAATCGAACAATTTCACCAATAATTGAGTTACAGATAAAATTATATAGTTAAAATTATATGACTAAAATATCCAAATATTGAGTGATAAAACCATACCTTCTACTAAACATAAAAAATAAATCATATTGGAAACTCATGAAACGTCAATATCTTTACTTAAATCGTTTCTCATTGCTTCTAACTCAACTTTTTTTTTTCATAATTCTCTTCAATCTCTCTTTACATATCAAGTAATTACTTTGAATCAATTTCAAGATAGGAGTTGGGGAGGCGGATGATGGGATCACGAGGAGGAAATAGTGGTCGACGGGGTTGTGTAGTTTGGGAGAAGATGAAAAAACTGAAAAATGAAGTTTTGATGTAGATGGTTAAATTATTTCTACATTACAAAATTACTTAACAAAATTTCTAGTTTATTTAAAGAATTCAAAAATTTTCCATATAAATAAACGAGTCATTTTTTAGTTGAAATTCGCAACCCTAACCTTACCCATTTAATTTTCGTTCGTATCATGTCAAACCGTTTAATTAAACGAGTTAAAATATCCAAAAAAAACTCGTTTATTTTGCCTTAGGTTATCGTGTTGTGTAAACTTTTATCAACTCTAGATTTGAATGATTCGATAAGCCTCTAAAATATGGTGTATCACCATCATCCGCCTTTTTTGGAACCACAAATCTAGTTTACTTCTAAACTAACTCCTAAACCCACCTATGTCTCAGACATGACTTGGACCATCGACCTCAATGAGGAAGAGCAACACTAGATACCGCTGGGCTAAGAGCCATTTGATATCATCCATCTTCTTTATCTAATAAATGGTAATTAACGTCTTAATGATATCCATCATACTCTTTCCTAGTCACAACCAAAAAAAGATTTGTTCAAGCACTTAAATCTTCTTGACCGACTTTAAGATAATTGATTTTTACCATGTTCGTCGTCCATGCTTCTCTCTTACACATAATTTTAAGTAGATAAATTAAATATACTTCTATATTTTCTTCTAGTTATCTACCTACCCATATAAAATGACGACAAGTGTCATATCTTGATAAAATTAATGATATTATAAGACAATTGTCATCGTAAAAAATAAGTAGCAAAAAAATAGAAAGATATTTAGTTTCTCTTTTGAATAACATTTACATGACTTTTCTAACGCATAAATATATGCTTGATTCGATCCTCATGTACATAGTCCGTACTAAGAATTTGAAATATAATCTTTTATATTTCATGGTGTGAGAATGCGGCTTGGAAAAAACTACGCTTTAGAAAAATGCTGAAACTCGACAAATAATGCATAAAACACTAGTCGTATTATCTTTTCGTTTTTTATGCATGGAAACTATAGGAAATGCAGTCACTAGGAGTAAGGCGATTGGCCTTAGTTGGGATGGAGCCATTCGGACGCATGCCTATGATAAAGACATTAAAGAACAGTGACAAATGTGATGAAGAAATGAATCGGGTGGCTTTCACTTTCAACTCTTTGTTGATGGAAAAGTTATCAACGCTCAAAACAACATTACTGATGCAAACCGCCTTTGTTAACATTTATGGTGTCATTCAGAACATTATACAGAACCCATCAAAATATGGTTAGTACTTATCTCTTCTTCTGCAAAGATCCTTTCATTTATATTTTTCTAAAACATTGAAAAACTTATCATTTGTGATAGAAGTGTAGGATAAAGACATTAATAATAAGTAAAATTCTTGAATTATATATATATATATATATATATATATATATATATATCTATATATATTATAATATATATATAGATATATATATATATAATATATATTATCTCATATATCATCTATAGGGAAGGTTATTTGAAACAAAAAAACCCTAAAAATAATAAAAAACATAAAAAACTACTTAAAGATCCAAAACTTTTTTGAAAATTTTTTTGAAAAAATCCCAGCTTTTTATACAAAATCGGTGAAAAAAATTTTGAAATTTTTTTTGTTTTTTTTACAAAAAAAAAATAATAAAAAAATAAATAAATAAAATTGATTTTTTATTTTTTTTTCAGCGAATTTAACAAAAAACCTGCGATTTTTATAAAAAAAACTTCAAAAATATTTTTTGTGATCTCTAAGTCTTTTTTTATGCATTTTTATGATTTTAGGGTTTTTTTTCGTTTTTTGTTTTCCATAGAACCTAAACATATATATATATATATATCTATATATATCTATATATATAATATCAATTAAACTAACAATTTAACCAAATTAATTCATGTTTAGATGGAAAACATAGACTCTCTATAACCAAAGTACGTACTTACACCTTGGTATAATTTTAAAATTTTATTAAATGAGAGAAATTAGTAACCTCATAGTGACTCTTGTAACCAACTATTTGGTGCCCTAATAGGTAAGGCATAGAAGGCCCAAAGTTGGAGTCCTCAAGGTTTTAATTAGGAATTGAAAATGAGTGGGTACGTACGTGAGTATTTCGATAATTTAGAATATAACCTTAAGACTATCCCATTATTCCCATCTTATGCTCACAATGCGGAGAACAACAGCCCACGGCTGATATGCATAGTGACTTTCTTTGAGTATGATGGTTTGAATATCCAATGATAAACCTCTTAGAGGTCCACAACTTCGGCCTTAATTTATTATCAAGTATCAACATATAAATCTCTGGATATTCTTTTTAATAATCCTTTTTAAAACTTTGTGGTTAATATGAAAATATTGTAAATGTGGCTACCATTTGAGTTAATATTATCTAAGAGTAAATTACACGAATGGTCCCTATGATTTGGGTAATTTGCACGTTTGGTCCTTAACTTATTTTTTTAACTCGGAAGGTCCCTATAGTTTGTTTTTGTTGCGCGTTTGGTCCCTGTCTTACCTAAAAAGACTATTTTGGCCCTGATTTTTAATTTATTTAAATAAACACACCCTCACCCTACTTCCACCTCACATTACCTTACCTTACCTACCCCACCTTATTTAAATAAATTAAAAAATCAAAGACAAAATAGTCTTTTTAGGTAAAACGAGGACCAAACGTGCAAATTTCCCCAAACCATAGGGACCACTCGTGTAATTTACTCTATATCTAAATTAAGTAAGATAACAAGATAAAAGGGGAATGAAATGAAAAGATTAGTTAAAGAATTGCCGACCTTCTCAAACACAAGCGATTGGTAGTTATGAAGCGGTCCATGCCACCTAAACATAGATTAGCTCCGGCTATAAAACATGGACCGGTTTATAAATTTATGGGCCTGTATATAATGGATGCTCTTAAAAGAAAGTTTGACATGCCGTTTCCCCATATACGTCTTTGAATTTTTTTTAGTTTGAAATATAAAATAATGATTTATAATTGAATAATGTATTTCAATAAAATGAAAATGACAGGATTTTCAGAAGTTAAAAAGGGATGTTGTGGATCTGGATTAACAGAATTTGGAACTAGCTTAAAGGGGTTGGGTACATGTATCGATCACTCAACATACATTTATTGGGATGCCGTTCATTTTACAGAGAAAATGTATTATGTTATCGCGGATGAGGTTGTGAAATCTATGAGTTCAAGCTTTTAGCTCAACGTTTGTTCATATTTCGCTGGTGAATCTCCAATGGTGCATCAATAGACATGTTACAAAAAGTTCATTGTGTATGCAAGGTTAATTTCCATGGTCTTAAATAGGTTGCTTTCAATTCAACTTCACTAAGAGTCGTCAAAGTTTCTTTATTTTCTCATTTGTGTGTTCATTGTTGAAAATGTTCTTTAGTATCTTAACATGGACAAGCTATGTATTGTATGGTGCCTAGCTTTGTTTATGAATAAATATATATACTTTAGGTTTGATTTCATGTTATTTTGCACTTTTGATAAATGAGATTTGACATGAGTCTCTTTCGTATGTTATTAATTTTTTAAGAGTTATCTCTAGAAAGAATTATATAAAAGAGTTTGTTGAGAAATACTTTGATTTGATTGATGAGAAAATATACCTTGAGTATTATTTTATAAATGTAAAAAATGATAGACTGAAGTAGGGGTGTTGATCGGGTAATTTTCGGGTTTCGGGTAATTCGGGTTTTTCATGTTAAAAAGATACTCATTACCCGACCCAAATTAAATTTGGGTAATTCGGGTAGTGGGTCGGGTTTGGGTAATTCGGGTATTACCCAAAATATATATATATAATTTTTTATTGAATGGCACCTGAAAATAAATTTAATGAAATAAATATGGCATGTTCTATTAGTCTTGTTTATATAAACAAACGAGGCATAAGCGAAGTTACTCAAACTTTGAACATTGAGATTTTTAGTCAATAATACTTGAGATATCAAGTAATCTTTTAACAACTTAATCTAATCTAATAAGATGTTAAAAAACAAATACTTAAAGATCTTAGTTTAAAAGTTTAAAATGTTTAAGATAATTGTAGCCATAAGTTTTGCCATGTTCTGAAGTTTCGTCAAAGATAATGAGTTTTTTAGTTACAATAAAAACTCGTACAAGCTCTACGAAAAAAAAAAAAAAATTTTTTAAATTATTCGGGTAATTCGGGTATACCCGAAACCCAACAAACGTACCTTATACCCAACCTGAAAAAAAATCGGGTTACCCAATTACCAGAAAAAATTTACCCGATACCCAAAAAAATCGGACGGGTAATTCGGGTATCGGGTATTTTCGACAGGGCTAGACTAAAGAGCTAAAGCGACTACCTACGAAAACTAGGATGAATACTAATGCATATGTGAAGGGTCAACTATTACATGTCATCAGGGTCCACCGTAGACATGTGTAGAGTGTGCCACCACACAAGGCCCATGTCGTTTATAGGCCCCACATATATAGAGTTGTCATGTGCAAGATTAATGGGCCGGTGACACATAATGTTGTTGTAGTATGCTTGTAAATTGCTTAAAATTCCCGAATAATGATGTTGATTCGCGTTTAGAGTACTTGCAAAAGAGTTCGAGGTGGTAGAACCATCAGGATTACTTTATAACGTATTTTGATATTGTTACGATTTTCATTTCACCTATTTTTCATTTTTAATGGATTGTGGGAGGAGTAATAAAGCCTAATTTCACCTATTTTTCATTTTTAATGGATTGTGGGAGGAGTAATAAAGCGTGACATTTGATGATATCGTGGATTCAATGCTATGGTATCTGTTTTCTTCACATGGCTCATGTAGTAACGACATTATTTTATTCTAGAAAGGGGAATGGTTTGGTGTTGGCGATGACATCAACTATATCGAGATAAGGGAGGTAGCTGGCAAAGAATTTGTGTGTAAGTTTAACTTTAGTTATTAGTGAGTTTACATTAGATAGAGCATCAATTAAGTTTTTTTGAGCATAAAAAGTTATGTCATGGAGTTATTGGTTGGATGTTTCTGATTTTGAGGCTGCAACATTCTTAACATCTTGTTTTCTAGAAAACATTAATCTAACTTATTCCCTAAGTCATTAGTGGTACAATTATCACTACAGATAATTTAAAATAAATTGGGTTCATAGGTTGAGTAGAGCCAAAACTTGACATGGACATCAATGGATTTCCAATCTTCATCATCGTTCTTTGAAAGTTTGCATGTCCCATAATATGACCAAATAGTTTTGCACGTTTACACTAATAAAAAAATGTGTCGCCGTAGCTTGCACTCTGAACCATCAATTGTTAGTTTGAAATCGAATTGGGAATAAACATTCATTAATACGTGGCTTGCATATTGAACCACCAATTGTTAGTTTGAAGCGATGATGGATGTGGACTTGGGTATGATGGAAACATGAAAATAAATTTAATAAAAAAATATAAGCAATACATTGAACAATCAATTTTTGGTTTGATGCGGGAAAATAGACGTAGAACGCACATTGAACCATCAATTGTTATAAAAATATGTTGTCATAGCTTGCACTTTGAACCATAAATTGTTAGATTGAAATTAAAATATAATAGACATTCATTAATACATAGCTTGCACATTGAACCATTAAGTGTTAGTGTGAAGTGATGAAGGATGTCGACTTGGGTATGATGAAAGTTGTAACGCCCCAAAAATACTGATAATTTTTTTAAAGTTTTAAACAAGAAAAAAAAATATAATCAGTGCGGAAAAGCCATCAGGGGATACTGTGCAGTCAAGCCGAGCCCTTCCCTTTGGAACTGGAAGTACCTGAAAAATGTTAAACCACAAACCATAAGCACGAAACTTAGTGAGTTCCCCAAAATACCACATACCATACAAATAGGTCCAGCCCAACATGTAAAATGGGCCCAGCCCAACGTACATACAAATGGGCCCATCCCACTCATACAAATGGGCCCAACCCAACATACATAAATAAATAGGCCTAGCCCAATCATGCAAATGGCCCCATCCCAACATACATGTAAATGGGCCCAACCCAACATATAATAAATGGGCCCGACCCAACATACAGTAAATAGGTACAACCCAACATAAACATGCAAGATTCACAAAGACAGCTAGCATCTGGTGGGATGTCAAGTCCACCAAGCAAATTACACCATTTGTTAGCAAATAAAACGTAATATAATGGTAAAAAGGGGTATTGATCCTCAGGGAAATGGTTGTATTCAATCATCAGTGCAATCCAATAGAACTAGTGTAAATAAACTAACTATCTACATTTAAACTAAAAGGGGGGGGGTGTTGTGATTTCTTGAAAACTAAAAGACTTGAATAACTAATAAGCTTGCAATTAAGCAAGATGGTGAGATGCTCAAATATTGGAGAGAATTGGTTAACCAAGGCAATTCAACACAATGAACATTTGTGTGTTTATCATTAGGATTCAATATGAAGCTTATCATTCATCCCAAATTGGTTATAGCAATCATGAAGCATGATATGCCAAGATTCCTCATAGGTAGTATGGAGATTGGGGAAGCCCACAACACACCTTCTTAATCAAAATCAAGGATTCAATTGAAGCAATTGAACCCAAGAAGTTGATTAGCCTTAAGAATGAAGGAATCCCCAATTCCTAGAGGATGTCAATGCTTACACACCCATAAAAGAGTCATGATTCATAAGCTAAAGATGATTTCTACCATCATAAAGCCCTTGTTCTAAGTAAATTCAATGATTCAATGCTAAACCAAAGAAATAAACCAACAATTGCTCATTCAAGTACCAAGCTTATGATCAAAGTATTAAACAAGCATAAGAAATATCAACTAGAATCATAAACATAAGATAAATGACAATTAAGCATGAATCCTTAAAAACCCACAAATATCCAAGGGTTTTAGCCAAAGTTAACCAAAATAGAGAAATTAGCTACTCATGGCAACAAAATAACAATCACAAAAGTATAATTGCATCAAGAAACTACCAATTACTTAGAAAGATGAGAAGAATGAGTATCAAGCTCCAAAATCGCCTCTAATGGTCTCCAATGGTAGAAAATCGAAGTATATGCTGAAAGATCCAACACCCAAGGTAAATGGTGAACAAAATGACCAAAATGCCCAAAAGTGTGCAGTTGCGTGGGTACCCGCGTAAGTGTTGCGCGATTGAGAATCCACCCTCGCAAGTGTTGTTGGAATACTATTGGTCCGTTCTTCTCCACTACACCACTCCACTACACCACTCCACTACCCAAGATTCTCTTGGTCCCCTCCATGCCTCACATGATTCAAATTTGGCCAATCACCTTCAAGCTTTAAATATGGATAGTCCATGCCCAAAATAAGAATCCATGACACATCTTTAAAAGTTCACTTCATCCAAATCTTCAACTTTTTAAGCCCAAATTTTCTTTGATGGATCCGTAAAACCCAATAATGCATCGAAAAGCTCACTAAGCCCAACTGCAGTCAAACCGCAACCGCAACGAGCTCCAAAACCCTGCAAAATATCTCATGCAAAATAGAAAGTACCCGACACGATCCATGATAAAGAAAATAAAGAATATACAATGCTATACTAATAAAAAGAGCTAAAAATACTAAAATAAACTAATAAAAATAAGGAAATAAAATAAGCTATCAAATCACCCCAAGCTTAAACCTAACTTGTCCTCAAGTTAGAACACGACTAAAATGAGCTCGGGATGAGCTAAACTAAAAAGGAAAAAGAAAGATACCATAGAACTTGGTCAACATGGTCAAAATCAGTCTTTCATGGACCCTACACATCTTCAAAATGTTCCCCGATTTAGGGCCATAAACCACATTCTCGGACCACTTGAAGGGATAATAGATCACGTCTAGATGTAGTCTCGGTGTGCAAGACAAAGGAAACGGAGGATGCGCCCAGTGGGGGCACTTTAAATCACCAATGCAGACCATAATGCATGACGGAAAGGCGCCTCTTCACACACGATGATTCCTACAATTGTCAGTCTAAAGTGTATAATAACGAAATAGGGTTTTGCAGCACGGCCTCCAGGAAAACATCCAGTTTCAGAGGCGTCTCCCTTGTACTGTCCTTTACAATCTACCGTCTCATCGTCATAGCCTTTTCTCACCAAAATCAAAAATAAAATAAAATAAAATAAAATAAATCTACTTAACCTAAATCTAAACCTAACAGCTTAA